CTGGGGAGAAAACTTCAAATGGAACAAATTAAGTCAAAGTGTCGACAACAATGTAGAAACATTTGGAAATAAAGTTGAATTGTCAGGAAAGAGTCGTAAAGTTGGGAAAAAAGCAAAATTGTATCTTTGAAATTTGATTTTCATTTCATATTGATATTTGACTTTTTTCTCAGAGTGCAAAATGACAAAATAAAACCTCTCATTATTTATTTCTGCTGTGGCTCTCTTTGACTTCTGTAAAACACACAGCGTGACACAGTCCACGGTGACAAACACGCCGCGTTGTGACGTTAATACGGACGTTTAAAATCGTTGTTTTTTTTAATCAGGTTTTGTAATCAGGTATTAGCCTTTAAAACACACATACACAGTTAAAGTGTGATTAAGCCTGTCATGTTTTCAGGTTGATAATGCACTTCCGGTAGGTCTCCAGCTTTGTTTACATGTCATCACTTTACACAACAAACACGTTCATTTGAAATTTCACTTCACTTTATAATACTTTTTTATCTCACCGTTTTTCCCTCCAGCTTCCTCCTCCAGATGAATATCCACAGCTCGTTTGTCCAACATTTTCTGGAAGTTTTTTAGAGAGTCTGGGCTGAAACATCCATCTTGTTGTTAGTAGAATTCCTCTTGACTTTATTTTGTTTTAAACTTTATCCGACTAATCGTAACAGTTTCCCCGGTTTGTCCCGCTTTGCAACTTTTAAATACAATTCCAGTGAAGAAAATGCCTTCAGGAGTTAGTTTCGCCTGTACTAAGTCTAAAGAGTTGAAAATAAACACCCAAACGGTTGATAAATTCTCCAAAAAGCTCCAGCTGACCGCCTTATCTGAGATCTGAACCTACGATGATGTTTTGTTCTGTATTTATAGCCTACTCCTGTAGCCACGCCCACACCGCCTCGCTGTCCAATCAGCGACGAACCTTGTGCTCAATGTTTTGAAGCGACGTCGCAGTTTAAAAAAAAACCTGATGAGGAATTCGTAGAATTCAAAGCAGCTCGAGCTGATGACGGGAAGAAGAGGGCGGTTTCCCCAAAACACACACACACACACACACACACGCACGCACGCACGCACGCACACACACACACACGCACACACACACACACAAGCGAAGACATTGAGCGCGAGGTGAACCGAAACAGAGCAACGGTTAACTCCGCATTCGCGCGCTTTCTCTTCCTCTCACACGCATGCGCGTACACAGAAGCGGGTTTTCTCGGTATCGAGAGCGAGCGGCCGCAGGTTTAAAATGTCCACTGTGCTTAATCAGTCGATGAGTCATGTTCCTGTCAAGATAAATATGTCAGCAGGAGAATTTACAAGAAAGTCCGAAAAAAAAGACAGCTAACCGCCCAGGGTTAGAGAGCCAGAAACTTCTCGTGAATTCTTTAAGATTCGTTTACCTGCAACAAGTCGCCCACACGTGTGATGGTTTTATTATTATTATTATTTTTTTAGTTTTATATATATATATTTTTTAATATATATATATATATATTTTTTTTTAATATATATATATATATTTTTTTTAGATATATTTTTTAGTATCGAGTTTTTTTGTACATTCTTAATTATTTTTTTTTTATTTAAATTGTACTGTGTTCACTTTTTGTTTGCAATCTCTTTGCTGCTGTAACAATGTAAATTTCCCCATTGTGGGATAAATAAAGGATTATCTTATCTTAAATTATTACAGCATCCTGACGAAAAATACCTGAAGGACTTTAATTCTTTATTTTCAACAAGAGTGGAAGAGCAAACAACCTTTTCAAAACTCTACGGAAGCCCAAATCGGACACACATCCATACATTTTATCGTACTTGTTTTTAGGAATCAAAACAATGAACACAAAGGTAGAGAATAGAGACGTAAAATGTGAAGGCTTCCCATGATAATGAGTCCATTTTGGATGCATTCTCAAGATCTCGGCTTATTTATCTCGTTATTTGTGGATAACAATGATCTGTGAAGGCCCTGTAATGATTTATTATTTTTAAAGTTAATTAGTAGGTAAGCCCTTAGCGGACATACATTCACTTACTTTTTATTTTACTCCGTTCACCGTGATAACGAGATCATTTTGGTTGTTTTCTCGAGATCTTGACTTATCTCATCTAAGGTGAACAACACTTGTTTCCCAACTAATACATTGTAGATGTTTTCCTGGCATCAACATGTTTTTCTCACAATAACAAATACATTTTGTTTGTTTTCTTTATAACTCGACATATTTATCTGCTTGTCTTGAGTCAACAACGCTGGTTTTCTCATAACTAGTAAAATTTAGTATTTTTCTTGAAATCTCGACTAATGTACGTTGTTTCTTGAGATGACGCAGGTTTCCGCTTCATGACGAGTAAATGTTGGAAGGTTTCTTGAGATCTGGGTTTACTTGTCTCATTATCACCAGATAACTCCAGCAGTTACCCTGTGATAACAGGTACATTTTAGTTGTTTTCTTGAGATCTCAACTCATGTTTCATGTTCTCTCCAGATAACTCAGGTTTGTCCGTAATGAGTACATTTCAGTATAAATTAAATCTGGATTATTAATGTCATTATCTCGAGTAAACAATAAAATAATTTTGCTGTTTCTAGGACTCGCCTTTTTCCTCGTTATCTTAAGTAAACAAAATTTCTTCCCCTAGTATTTTTTTCCCTGAAATCTCAATCTCTTTATCTCAAAATTATACGGTTTGGTTTTCTTGATAATCTCAACTTTATTTTCGTATATTTTGCGATAACTCTGGTTTCCTGTGATAACGAGTCAATCTCAGTAGTTTTCTCAAGATCTCAAATTATTTGTCGTGATGTGGTGATGAGTTTATTTCCAGGGATCGCGAGAAAATGACTAAAACTAAAACTTGTCTCACGGGAAAGCAAGCGTCATTATCCTGACTTGATGAGATCAATCTAGAGAAAAAAAACAGAAATGTCCTCGTTAACATGTTAACACAGAATACATTGAAGTATGAGGACGCATGATGTCCTCTCAGAGCTCCTGTCAAGAACTAAGAAAACAAAGAAAGGAAGATTTTGTAATTAAAGAACTGATGGAGAGTAAAACAGAAAACAGAATGACACGAGAAGAGGAGGAGGGGTGGACACATTCAGAACTTCATCCAAAGGAAACTGGACTCAGTTGAAGATCTTAAAGACGTTTCTCCTCCTCCGTTTTCTTCTTCAGTCCAGGGAAGTGAAACGTCTTCAACCTAACCTTTGGATCAAGCTTTGACTTTTCCCATGACCCTGATGACTGACAGCCTGCACAGAAAAAAGGAGGAAGAAATAAACCGGGTCAAAGAGTGAAACCAGGAAGCAGAAGATAAAGACGGAGAGGGAAGAAAAGAGAAGGAAGTCAAGATGAGGCTGCAGAGTTTAAAAGACGAGTGTTCAGTGTTTGTGTGCAGATTTAAAAAAAACATCAAGACGACTTTTTCAGAAACATTTTCCTCTTTTTATTCCAAGAAAAAAAAAGATCTTTTCATCCCAAACAAGAAAATAAAATAAAACAAACTTATAATATTAATAATAACAACAATAATCAATCATTAAGAGGATAAGTATGACAATTCTCAAATTTTCTTTTTTTTTTTATTTGTCGTTTTTTTCTCACTATGATGATATTGGTCGTGGTCAATTAAACATGCAGCTAAATAAGTCCGATGATGATGATGATGATGATGGAGGTGATGTGGAGGGAGGAGAGGAGGAGGAAGACGAAAAAGGAGGAAGAGAAAAGAAGCAGGAGCGTGACGTCGCTGCTGGCTGGCGTTTGGTGAGAGTGACGGCCTCAGGAAGCGGTGAGGACGATGACCACATGATCTGGTTGTTAGCCTGTAACTAAGGTTGTCAACACTTTGATACAACGCGTTTTTAAAACAAAATAATCTTATTTTACTGATCCGGTAGTATCGAAAAAGTGCTGAAGCTTTAAAAAAAACTACAAAATGACTTCTTCATTTGACGGGTGGAACAGGGGAGGAAAGAACGCAACAAACATTGCAGGCGTATTCCTGCACCTCTAAATGACACAAACACGTTGGCAACGATTGGATACCCAAAGGGTGCCAATTTAGACCGTGTGAAAGATAGTTCCCAATAATGTGCATCTAGGACTTTTTGTTGCTGTAGACAAAACTGTTTTCTTTACAGCTGCAGTTCCTCCAGTGTCCACTAGAGTCTGTCTCCTTTTGGTGATTTAAAACAAGAATCCGGTGATGCAGTGATAGATGTCTGGGGCTTTTCTTTTTGTTGCCGTGGTAACAAAACAGGCATCGATATCATTTTGATTTGTTGTAGTATTTGTATCAAAGTTTAAAAATCTGTTAGCGTGACAACCCTGGTACCTTTAGCATTCAACTTTTTGATAAGCATGGGGCTACTATTCCTCAAAAAGAAAAAGAAGAAGGCGGCCAGCAGGAGCTACAAGAGGAGTTGGACTCATCAGAAAACCATAACGCTATCTCTAACTAAGCTAGCAGCAACGCATCTCGTTGGACCTGGAAACCGCGGTGAGCTAAGATGGTAATAACGTAAGACTTCAGGTGACGGCTCGCTCTCGTAGCATGAAGATCCCCGACATACACTTCACCATTTTTAAGTGCTGATTAGCCTTCCCTATTGAATCCTATGACATCATTAGCCACAGAGCTAACGGAACATACTTCAAAAGTCGAGGCTGCTCGACGTGGTGTCTGATGTCATAACTGACCTCGAATCAGCTTTAAGACTGAGCTCCTCTGAGCGGTGACCATGAGGGTGTCATGGAGAAGGAAAGGTGATGAGACGGGAGTAGAAAGGAGGGAAGGAAACGGGGAAGGATAAAGGAGAGGAAATGATGAAGAGCGGATGAGCTGAAAAACAAAAAACAAGTGTGCATTTCTTTGTTTGATGTTTGTTTTTTTCCCTGGTCGATCTCCTTCTGAGGGGCAGAGGTGAGGGTGAGGGTTCAGGGGGGGTTGGAGGGTGAGGCAGGAGAGGAGGTCAAGGTCATTGTTGTGTTTGTTTGTGTGTGCTTGTGTTTCGGCTGGTCATCAGCTGCTGTCGGGGGACGGCTCCCTCTCTCGATGCATGGAGGAGCTCTGGTGCTTCATGCTGTCCAGATACTCCTGCTGAGAGACGGCGAGCACCGAGGCCAGGATCTCATCGTCCTCCCAGTCTGTCAGACCTGAAACACACACACGTGCACAAACACACACGGTAACTAATCACAATCACTGATGACTTCGGCTCGCTTTCACGCCAGTCTGAACTCATGTCAAAGGGTTAGGGTTAACAGGGATCATTTTTAGCGACCTGAGGTTCCACCCCTCTTATGTTTAGTTTCCCCATGCAAACATTTTGACATGTGGTGCTTTTATTTTGAAGGTAGAAAAACTGAGGTGTGGTGCTTTTATTTTGAAGGTGAACTAACTGACATGTACTTTTATTTTGAAGGTGCACAAACTGAGGTGTGGTGCTTTTGTTTTGAAGGTGGACAAACTGACATGTGGTGCTTTTGTTTTGAAGGTGGACAAACTGACATGTGGTTTTATTTTGAAGCTGGACAAACTGAGGTGTGATGCTTTTATTTTGAAGGTAGAAAAACTGAGGTGTGGTGCTTTTATTTTGAAGGTGAACTAACTGACATGTACTTTTGTTTTGAAGGTGGACAAACTGAGGTGTGATGCTTTTATTTTGAAGGTGCACAAACTGAGGTGTGGTGCTTTTATTTTGAAGGTGAACTAACTGACATGTACTTTTGTTTTGAAGGTGGACAAACTGACATGTGGTGCTTTTATTTTGAAGGTTAACTAACTGACATGTACTTTTATTTTGAAGCTGGACAAACTGAGGTGTGATGCTTTTATTTTGAAGGTGCACAAACTGAGGTGTGGTGCTTTTATTTTGAAGGTGCACAAACTGAGGTGTGGTGCTTTTATTTTGAAGGTGGACAAACTGACATGTGGTGCTTTTATTTTGAAGGTGGACAAACTGACATGTGGTGCTTTTGTTTTGAAGGTGGATAAACTGACGTGTGGTGCTTTTATTTTGAAGGTGGACAAACTGACATGTGGTGCGCTTTTGTTCTGAAGGTGGATAAACTTATGTGTGGTGCTTTTATTTTGAAGGTAGAACACTAGAAGACAAACATCTAAACCTGGAGAAAGACACAACTGTTATCCCCGACCTGTGAAGATGAGCCGGTCAGATGAGCCGACTCTTCACTTCCATGTTTTTTTAATAAATCAAAGCTGAAGTCTGCTCGGCGATACGCCAGATAACGTCCTGATAATGTCTCCTTCAGCGAGCAGTAATGTGGTGAGACAAGATAGACACTTCCTGCTGAGATGTTTCTGTTTGTACTCTGATATCAAAACGCTTTAGAGCGTCTTCAAAACACCTGATAATAAAAGTCCACTGTTAGAGACGGTTTGTGTTTCTCTGAACCGCTCTTCATGCTCTCAGACAATCCAACAAACACGCCGCGCCCGCCACGCTCGGCTGCTTCCTGCTCAGTATTGACTGTAAACATCAGAGGATGATTGACAGCTGCATGACCTCTGCAGCCCGAGCTGCAGCAGGGCGGCAGAGGGGTCGGCTGCAGCAGGGCAGCAGAGGGGCCGGCTGCAGCAGGGCGGCCGGCTGCAGCAGGGCGGCAGAGGCTGCAGAGGGGTCGGCTGCAGCAGGGCGGCAGAGGGGCCGGCTGCAGCAGGGCGGCCGGCTGCAGCAGGGCGGCAGAGGCTGCAGAGGGGTCGGCTGCAGCAGGGCGGCAGAGGCTGAATGTGGCTTTCGGTCTACAAAGTGAATTTTCTGTCTCGCTCTTTTAGGCCGCCGTAAAACGAGCAGTTTATTAACACGAGGTATCTTACCAAAGGCTGTGGGCGACATCTCCTGCATGATGGCTCTGTACTCCAAATGATGGCGACTCTGATTACTGGGACCTACACACCACACACACACAGACACACACACACCACACACACACAGACACACACACACACACAGTTAGCAACAATCAAAACGAACCCTGCACCTTCATGCACGTTTGTGCAGAAGTGAGAGCGTCTTATTTCTCTTCATCACCGCTTTGATGTCTTTTGACTGTGTGTGTGTGTGTGTGTGTGTGTGTGCGTGTGTCTGTGTTTGTGTGCGTGTGTGTCTGTCTGTCTGTGCATGTGTGTGTGTGTGTGTGTCTGTGTGTCTGTGTGTGTGTGTCTGTCTGTCTGTGCATGTGTGTGTGTCTGTGTCTGTGTGTGTGTGTTTGTGTGTGTGCATGCGTGTGTGTGTGCGTGTGCATGCGTGCGTGTGTTTGTGTGTGTGTGTGTGTGTGTGTGTGTGTGTGTGTGTGTGTGTGTGTGTGTGTGTCTGTGTGTGTGTGTTACCTGGCGCGCAGGGGGAGGGGGGCTTGCTCAGGATGAGGGCGGCTCCTGCGGGGGAGGGGGGCTTGTTGCTGCTGTTGGACGACGGGGCGGTAGTGAGGTCCGAGTGGGAGGGGTCTGAGTCTCGTTGCCGTGGCGACCGGGCGCTCCAGTCGTCCAGTCCGCTGGAAGCCGCTGCCGTCGCCGAGCTGCACGTGGCGCTGGCCTTACGCGGCTGAGGAAGAAAACACACATGTTTACGTTCAGGTGGTAAAAGACTTCCTGCTGACCTCTGACCTCTGACCTCTGACCTCCTCCCCCCCCCTTACCTGTCGGGCCTGCTTCTCCTGGTCCTGCAGCCACTGCAGGTACGACTCCCGGGCCACCTGCTCCTCGATGGCCTCGTTGGTGGCCTCCCAGTCCGTCGCTCTCTTCTTGTCCTCCAACATCTGCTGCTCGATCCACGACTCCTCCGACGTCTTGATGGCCGACTTCATCAGAGACTGATCGGCGTACTGACGGAGGGTGACATCACACGTTAACACACGGGCGCTGCGCTCAGACTTCAACAAAAAATAATTTTACACCATTTTTGCACCAGATTTCATGTTGGACTCAACACAACCCTCTGAGCGTCCTGAACGTACCCCCGGTTTGAAGGCCGGCAGTCCCAGTCCGACCCCGATCGTGGCCTTGTTGGGGTTGACCACAGAGTTGTAGTGGATGTTGCGGTGGTAGCTCACTCTGATTGGCTCGTCGTTGTTCTGGTGGATGCCGTGGAACGTGTTGATTGGCTCTGTGGAGGAAGAGGGGGAGGAGTCAGGATTAAATGTGTTATGAAATAATATTGAGTGAGGACTTCTGTTTTTGTTGCCGTGGTAACAGGTGTATTGATATCGTTTGATTATGACAACACAGATGGTATTGTGAAGACTCGAGTCAGGATGGTGGGTTGTGATTGGCTGATAACAACTGTATCAGGTCTAGGGACCTTTTGAGGAACTTTGTGCAACATGAAGTCCTGGGGTAAATGATCTACCCCCCAAAAAAGACCCTGCCTGTGGGGTAGTACTCGACAAAGGTCCAGGGGACCTTGGGGGGGCGGGGCCAGCAGCGTTGTGCGTTTTTCTGCTATGTTTAAAAAACTGCAAGCCATACGTTTACATTTTCATCGTGCTGCTATTTAACATGTTTCCAGACGGACGCTCGATGGCGGTGGACCGATGACGGGGTGCAGGCCTTGCTGACCCTTTATGTGGAAGACGACATGAAGCAGGAGTTGGAAACGTCGGCACGAGATGAACATCGAGTCCTGGACAAGCTCAAACACTTAAATACTAAAAAAAGGTTTAATGTTGGATGTTGTTATCGGACGGACTCACCGGTGCCGTACTGGTACACCTCCACCGGTCTGTTGTACATCTCAGCCATCGCCTGCATCTCGATGTGGTTGCCGTGGCAATTGTTTTTCCTCTTCCTGTTGATGTATGTGGTGAAGTCCTCTGTCACGTAGTTGGAGAAATAGTCAGCGTTCTTCATCTGGAGGCGGGAAAACAAAAATAATGTTATGTACAGACGGCACAGACGAAATGATTCTGATGAGGTGCAGAGGTCAAAGGTCAGAGGTCTCACCAGGTAATCCATACAGTGTTTCCTGACCACTTCATGCATGTCCTGGTCTCCATACACCTGATCAGCTGAGGGACGAAATGACAGTTCAGGTACATGAAGTTACATTTTGCTCATTAATAAACTACGATAATTCAGTGGTGTGTGTGTGTGTGTGTGTGTGGTATCCAAACTTCCACAGTAAACGCACAAAAACACGACCAGCTGCGTTAGCATTAGCCCTCATATTTAGCATACGGACACGAGGGGAGAGTTAACTCGAGTCAGAGAGGAAAAGGAGCGGATTGACAGAAAAGATGAACGATCCTTTAACTTCTACATCACACACCACACACACACACACACACACACACACACACACACACACACACACACACACACACACACACACACACACACACACCACACACACACACACACACACACACACACACACACACACACACACACACACACACACACACACACAACACACACACACACACACACACACACACACACACACACACACACACACACACACACACACACACACACACACACACACATGTGTAGAGAGATTCCCCTGTTTGTTCACACCTGCTGCTGCTCAACCATGCGTGTTAGTTCTGTTATGAGTGTGTGTGTGTTTCATCACATCCATCCACAACATACACACACACTCATGCACACACACA